TGTGGAGCAGTCATAAAAGGACTGGCTATGGGCAAGGAAACTTCAGATTTCCCCTTGTACGTGCTGTACTATTTGGATCTTTCTAAAATATGCATATTATAATTTTATGATGTAAAAGTTAATTTAGAAATTTAAATATATCATAGCAGCAACATTCACAATAGCCAAAAGGTAGAAGCAGCCCAAGTGTCCATCAACAGACGGACAAAGTATGGTGTTATCCATACAACAGAATTTCACTCAGCCTTAAAAAGGAAGGAAATTCTCACACCTGCTACAACATGGATGCACTTTGAGGACATTATACTAAGTGAGATAAAACTGTCACAAAAGAACAAATACTGTGTGATTCCACTTCTATGAGGTCTCCAGAGTCACCCAACCCATAGAAACAGAAAGTAGAGGGTGGATGCCCAGGACTGGGGGAGGGAGATGGGGACTTAGTGTTTAACGGGGACAGAGTCTCAGTCTGGGGTAATGAAAATGTTCTGGAGACAGATGCTGGTGACAGTTTTACAACAATGTGAATATCCTTAATGCCGCTGAACCGTACACTTAAAATGGGGAAGATGATCAATTTTAGGTCATGTGTATTTTACCACAATTTCTAAAAAATTAAATGTAAAAAGTGGACATGGAACTTTTTATTATGTAAGAATAACCAGAGTTCCCAGGAGGTTTAATCTCCAGTTGGAGGAAGAACTAGGCCTGGTGAATACATTAAAGGGACAAGAAGAGCTACACCATGAGATGGCCTGCTCAGAAGAGGCCTCAAACGCGCACAGAGGTCAAGGGGACGTGCACACCAAGCGCTGACGGTGCTCACCTCTGGAGATAAGACTGAAGTGACTTTTGTCTTCTTTCTACACATCTATTATTCAAGCTTTGCATAGTAACCATTGGTTATTTTATAACTGGTAAAAAGCACAACAAATAATCTTCCACAAACCGATTCCCACAGCACACTGACCATTACAGAAATTACAGAATGACATTCTCTGGAGGAGTCCCACGTGGGCAGCACCGGGCACTGCCCCTTTAACCAGAGAGGCCGGACGCAGCAAAGCTTGAATTCCACACTAAAGCACTGCGGTGTGCTGTCTGTCCTTCCCATGATCCTGGTTCACACACTGCCTTAAAGCTTTCTGAAAGAAGACGGGTGTAAATAATGAATAAATGAAGAAGAGGCTCTCTTTTCTATGATAAGTTTCCACCAAATGCTTATTTGCCACACCCATTAAGTCGACTTCTTTACCACTTCTCTGGGGGTGGGTATGGCTGGGTCTTCCTGCAGTTGCACGGGAAACCTGAACTCACTGTCACATGTCGGACTCGACTGAGCCGCAGACGGGCAGCCCCTTCGCTGAGTCCCAGGGCAGCTCCGGGGCCTGCGCACTACCACAGAGTCCCCCTTCCAGGTAGCAGCGCGCTGGGCATCTGGGATTTCCTGCTGTTCAGGCCGCACCACCCTGAGACCTCACGGCACACCAGCCCTCCGGGCCTCCCTTTGACTTGCTTCCAAGATGAAATCGGGCTTATGCAAAGGACTGCGCATGGAGACTCTGTGCTCACGGTGCACTGAATCTACCTGCACTTTCCACTGGGGCCGCAGGTGGCTTGGCCGAATGCCACGGGCAGCTCTCCAGGCAGTGGTGTGAAATGGCCCACCTGGGTGTCTGCTATTATTGAACACCATTTAAATCCCAACAGCGCACTGAGTCGAAGAGTTATTTTCAGGAAGCCCCTGGACTGCAAATTCAGAGGAAAGTTGGTCTTTTCTCATTCTTTTTCATTAAAATGTCAGAAATCTTTACCCCCCCTACGCTGGCTGACAGCCCTGCCCCCGAGGGATCTTTGCTACTCTGCTCCCTCTGGAGGCTAGGCACACACTTTTGCACACAATAAAGAGAGAAAGCTAAACTTTGCAGCTGACAGGTTATTTAAAGCTTTAGAGTCCAGGAGCAATTAGTCAGAGTAACAAAGTAAACTCCCTTCAAATCTAAAATTTCTACAGTTGCCTCTTAGGAGCCCCACCTCTGTCTTCAGGGCCCTGACTTTAGGGTGATCTAATTCAGTCTTCAGTGACCTGACATCGAGGTGCCCAACTCAGTCTTCAGTGCCACCATTTAGCCTCTGAGCTGCAGCTTCCTCACCAGCAAAGTAAAACTGAAACGAATACTGTGTTTTAAGGGTGATATGAAAATCAAACGAGGCCATTTATGTGGACAAGTCCACTGGTTCTTTCACTCAGCAAACACTCTGCCAGGCATGCACTGGGTGCTGGGATGCAGACAGTACAAGGAGGTGGTGTGCCATCTTCCTAAGCTGATGGTCTACGAGGGGAGAGAAGCATTTATCAAACAATCGCACAAACGTGCACTGCACACTGTGAGATGTGTTCTGGGGAAGGTACAGGGTGCCATGAGCCTCTCCTTTGGGGTGGGGTACGAGCTCATCTTGTTGAGAGATGGAGCATTTCAAACAGCCAAGCTGAAGTCTGCCAGCGAGGTTGAGTGGCCCTTGGCTGCTGATGCTAAAACAACACACAGCAAGACCGTGTCCTCTGCACAGAAGGGCACGTTGTCACCGCCTCTGCAGCCTTCTTGTGGAGCAGTGAACACCACAGTCAGATCTCCAGGCTAGCTCCCATAGCTCCAGGTTTATAGAAAGTACAAAGCGAAGGCACAAGGTACATGCTATATTTGGGATGCAATCAGCAAAATCCAGAATGTGAAAACCACTACAAGACAAGTGAATTCGTTTTCTAAAAATGTTGTGAGGAAAGGAAGAAGAAGGGGGAGAACACTTCTGCAAGTTTAAACAGATAGACCCGCCACTTCAATGGCTCTTCTCTGGATCCTGCTTCAAATAAAAAAAAAAAAAATTTGTGAAGAAAATTTGTGACCACTAAGAAATGTGAACACTGATTAGATAATGATATTAAGACATTACTATTAACTTTCATACGTGGTGAAACTATTGTGGTTAGGGTTATACAAGTGTTCTCATCTTTTCCAGAGATACAGTATTGAGATACAGACAGATGGGACCCTCTGAGGTCGGGGAGGTGGCAGGTGCACAGAAGTAGTAGGAAAGACTGGGAACTGCCTTTTGCTGAAGCCCCATGATGCAATGCACAAGGTTCATCTTACAGTACTCTATTTATTTTGTGATTGACATTTTACATGTTTCTTTTTAAAGCATAAAGTGCAGCTGGGAAGACAGTATATATAAAGAGATACCAACATTGCAAGTTAGCACAGAAAAAAAAAAAGCCAACCAAATTATGCAGTTAACAAGGGTCATTGGACAGTGAAGAGCATTTTCAGAGAGGATGTTCCCAAAGATCTGCACCTCGGGGGACATCAAGAAGAATGGGAAGGTCCCAAGTAACGGGGAGGCAGGAAGTTCTTTCTAAGCAGTAACAGACACCTGAAGTGTGCCACATTCTGTGAACATACCTGGCTCTCTAATGGGTTTAAGTCCCTTTGGTAGGGGCTTCCTATTTCCGGTAACTAGGACAGAAGTAGTTGATAAATGGGACTTAAGTTGTGGGAGAGGAGAAAGGAGACAGAGAAGGGGTGGTTGCAGAGAAAAGTAGACAGCCCCCACGGCATAACCGGGAGCACAAAAGCACAGAGGGTGGTCAGCACCACGGAGAGGGCCTGGAGTCGGACCGGAGGCCACCACTTGGCCACTGGCTGGGGGTGGGGGGTGACCTTCCGCGGTGTTTAGAGCAGAGGTGTCAGGTGAGGCTGAGCGACAACAGGAAAGCCAAATCAGCAGATGAAGGCCTCTGGTGGAGGCTGGTAATTACGGGAGTGTGGAAGGCAACAGGGCCAGGAAACGGGATTTCTCAGAGCAGTGCACGGTTTAAAGCAGCCCCCAAAGGAGGGAGAGGGGCTACTGGAGGCTGCAGCCTCCGTGGAGGAGTTCCAGTCGTACAATGGCGTATTTATGGGCAAACAATCCGTAGGCAAGTGCACAGCCTGCCTTCTCATACAGCTTTCTTTCCCAAGGCAAGAACGAGAAGAAAGCATTAGTAATGGCCACACATGCCTCCCTCTAATTGTAACTTTGCTCTCCTTCCATTTAGAAGGTGCCATAATGGCTTTGTGGATCGAGAGAGAGAGAACAAGAGACCTACTTAGCTGAAAAGCAGCAATACGTAGAAAAGAAGACTGTCAGAGCAAATCCAATTAAGGCGTCACTTACAGAAAATAGACTGCTGATGTTAATGTGATTCTTGGTCCGTTTTTTTAGAAACCCTGCTATCTGCTCAATTTTATTATTTGTATGTCTTCAAAGAGGAAGTCATATATTATCAGAGTCTCACTTGCTATTTTATGGCCTTAGAAGACAAACACTAGAGTCCTCTGCACCTTACAGAGTCGGAACCAGTCAACACCCCTTCTACTTGGGGCGGCCACAGCAGGGGCGTGACCCGCGAGAGAGCCCCAGAGGATCAGGTGGAAAGCCAGCCACTTCGAAGGCCGCACGTGGCCTCACTGCATTGTGAGTGGCATTAGCTTCACAGTGGGTTCTTTTGGGGACAGGCAAATAACCATAACTACGTGAGGTGGCCCCAAGTTTGACCATAAGGAGTGCTGAGGGGCGACATACACCAAATCCAAAAGCCTGCATGTTCCATTTTCCAAAACGTTCTGTGGCCAACATGGTTTGGGGGCCAGATCTGGTCACGTTCCCTCACCTGTTTGAGCACCTTCATCCGTGAAGCAATGGACGGACACTGCAGGGCAGGGCCCACACAGCCTCGCTTCTGCCACCCCCGGAAGGGCCCTTTTCTGCCGGGCCTGACTACGACCGCCTTCCCTCCTACAGCAGCGGGGGGACGGGAGGGTGCTGAAGGCCCTTCCTCACACCACACGGGCTGTGGCTGTGACCCAGGGGGCAGCACAGAGTGGAAAGGGCTGGCCCTGGGCAGGTGCCGGAAAGACAGAAACAACAAAAACACGGGGGACTGGAGGAGGCTGACTCACCATCACTGAAGGCCGGGGGGTCCTCGGGGTCTCCTGGTGATGAAGGCCATTTCCGTAGGGCCGCTGGGGCTGAGAGGACCCTTGCTGTTCTCCAGGGCGTACGCAGCGGGTTTTGAGGCCCTGGATCGCCCTCCCCGTGGGGCGCTGGGGGCTTCCGAGCTGCAGAGGTGCCCAGCGAAGTTACCAGGCTCTGCGTGTTGGCACCGCCGTCCACCTTGGGGCTCAGCTCGTCAGGCCGCAGCCGGCTGCGTGTCCGCAAAGGGCGGCCCCCGGGGTGATCGGCCCGGGGCCCGGGAGCGTAGGTCAAAGCAGACGTCTGCGCCATGAAGGTCAGCACGCCGTCAGCGCGGGGGTCCTGACCCTGTAGGGGTTGAGGATCAAACACAGCAGGTGAGCCTCCACGTCAGCTGCTCAAAAGGGCACTTGGGGCACTAACAGCCCTGAAACGCACACCCGAATTTTCACGCCACTGACAGACCAAACTCTATGGCCCACATTCGGTTTGCATTGGTTTCCTAATAGCAGCTTTATGGAGGTGTAATTCCCATACCACAGAATACACCCGACTCGGTGTTTTCAGCATACCCAGAACAGGGTGAACATCACCGCCATCTTTAATCCCAGCATGTCCGATCACCCCAAGAGAAACCTCATACTCAGCCCCACACCCCCAGCCCTAGGCACCTGCCCGTCGACCTTCTGTCTCTATGGAGACAGGTTCTATCCGTGGAATCATACGCCACGTGGCCTTCCGTGCCTGGCTTCTTGCACCCTGTGCTCGAGGTGCATCCCGGCCACGGCACCCGCAGCGCTGCGTTCTTTCCTACCGCCGAAACGTCTCACTTTAAAGAGATCGCACATTTTGTCTCTCAGTCGGTGGACATCGGGGCCATTACACGGCTATGAGCATCCATCTACAAGTTTCTTGGGGACGTGTTTCCAGTCCTCTTGGGTTTACGCCTGGAAGTGCAACTGCCAGGTGTGTGGTAAGGGTGCATGTGACTTGTCGGGAGCTGCCAGGATGTGCTCCGACAGGAATGCGCCTTGTGTGCTCCCACCACCAGCTGTGAGGACTGCAGTCTCTCTCCCTCCTCCCTCTGTTTCCTTACAGCCAGCTAGTCGGTGGGAAGTGGCAGCTCACTGAGGCTTTGACTTGCATTTCCCTGCTGGTCAATGATGCCGAGCGTCTTTCACGGGCTTCTCGTCTTGAAATGTCTCTCCAACCCCCATCACCTGCACTGGTGTCTACTGTTGCTGCAAAAACAGCTCTCCATCGGAGACTGGCTCTCTCCCTCAATACAGGCACCTACTGCTCCGTCTTACGGTTGTTTCACTCCAACTCCTTTCTTTACCGACTACTGAGATCACTTTCCTCTCCTATTCCTTTAACAGAAATATTCCACAACAGCAAAGCTACCCTTCTATGTAACACCACGTCCACGACCCGGCTAGCATGGCCTCTCACTGAGCCTCCACCGGTGTGTCCTCACTCACTCACTCAGTTGGCCCAGGAGGGTGCATTCTCATCAGACTGTTTTGCCACTAGACAAATCAAGACCCAGTTGTCCTCCACTCTGGAACAGCTATAAAAATGCTAGAAAGTTCAATGTTCTACTTCTGACTGTGGGACCATCAAAATTTCCTAGACAAACACAGAAATTTCCAACGTGGAGATTCTCAGAAAAGTTATAGCTGTCCTGGACGCTTATTCAGAGCTCCCTTCATGATGTGGAATGGGTCCATGAGCCATAAAATTTTTCAATCTTGCCCATTCATATTTTCTAAATGCACCTTGCTTGGTGAGTCAAAGGGGAGTAGACCTTGGGATCTAGTTAAGATGTGCAGCCATCACTGAATTTAAGACAAGCGGTCCAGACTCCCAAGTCTGGCTATTTTCAAAACTATGTGTGTTCAGCCTTCCAGGATAGGTTTTGGTGTAGCAAGTTAGAAATCAGAAAACTAGGGTTGATACGGGTTCTAGTTATTGTTCTCACATATGAACTCGGGCAAATCCTTTGGCCTTTTGAGACTGAATTTTCTGTCAAAGAAGGAGACTGGACATTATCTCTAAGACTGTCTTTATTTCTAAAATGATGTCATTTTAGCTGTCATCCAAATTGTTTAATGTTGTCCAAGTACTGGCTGAAATCAACTGCTTTTCCTTTAGAAAAAAGTAAGATTCATTAGAGAAAGGGAGAGAAAAATAAAATGCTACCACACAGATAGGCCCCTCCAGCAGTTTCCCACAAATTGGGTGTAAGTGTCAATCTTAAGCTCAGCCTGAACTTCTGTCCGAAAGGCTGTGTCTGAACACCTGGTCAGGTCACAGTGCTGGGGGCTGCGGATCGCATCCAAATGCCTCATTAATGTGCCCACAAGCGTCTCTCCTCTCTCTGCTATGAATGCAGCCTATCCTAGAGCTTCTACTCAAAGGGCCTTTAATTATAGCTGAACTGGAACGCTCCGGGTAATGGACAAACCAGGCTGAACACAGTGCACAACAAATCACCACTGAACATAATCTGTGCAGTAGACTTCGATAAACAATCTATTTTGGGTCTGTTTTTCCTGTGAACCAAATTAAGGTGAAGAGGGAAAAATAATATTTCAGTAGGTACACTGTAGGAATAATAGAAAAACATGGGTTTTTACAAGTCATACCAGGTCCTCTGTAAATGACGGCCAGCACGATGGTATCCTCGGGGGAGCTCCCTGGGGCCCAGCCAACAGCTCGGAGCCCTGGGAGTTGGGAGACCAGCAATACGAGTGTTCTCATGATGCCTTCCTGTTTGTGGCGTCAAGTCTTGGAGGACAGAGCTGGTAGATGGGGCTGGATTCTGGGGCAGGGCTGCCTGGGTTGGAATCCCACCTCTGATCTCACAAGCCCGGTGAGTTATTTAACCTCTAAGCCATCTGTAAAATGGGGATAATAAGCACAGTGCCTGGCACGGGGTGTTGGTGGTTACTGCTCCTACCATTCTTACTACTATTATTTACTTCACCTTCTTAGACCTTCCTTTTCTTTAAAGCAGTAGGAAGTCCACAGATGAACTGAGCAGAGGCCACTCCCCCATTCTGAAGGTTTTAAGCCTGAATTCGACAAACCTATGATGTCAGGTTCCCAAAAATAATGCTGAATAATTTTTCGGACTGTAGTTGCCCAAATCTGGAATTAGCAACCTGAAAGTACACAAATTTGCCAATTCCCAGCACATGGTATGGCCACTCCTGGTACATTAATTCTTCGTACCACACATTGGAGAAATCTAGCTGGGACATCCTTGATATGATACACTTTGCATGAAGCATCTGAGAACTGCCGCCAAAGCTTGCTGAGCTTTACCCTGAAATCGTCTTCCTCCGGGCATATTCCTTAGCCCACGGTGTTGCCACATGAGAAGGAGTGGAACCCACTTGCCCACACCTTCCATGGTATTGAATAAAGCCAAGGGGAAGACGGCTCTTTTGGGAGACGGCCTGATCCCGTCAGCTCTGTGGCACATGCAGGACTTTGAGCTTCCCTCTTACTACCTTCAAAATTAGGAAAATACTGCCTTGTTTCTTAAGGCAGGTCTGAGGATTAGGGAGGGTAAAAAATTAGGCTACAGTGCTCAGCACAGGGCCCGGGGGAGGTGTTGGGACACGGTGGGCAGGAGCATCCTCTCACCAGCACCGAGCATCATCACCTCTGTGGGCATGATCCCCTCTGTGCTCCCCACCATCAGCAGCAGCAGCCCCATCCAGATGGCCACCAGGCCCACGATCGCCACTGTCACCTCCCCCAGCAGCATCACGAGCGCTAGCGGTGTGCAAAGCTCTGGGCTACGTTCTGCGGGGAGAGAGGGTCTCAGACACGGACCTGAGCAAACTGCAGGCGGAATTGGGAGTTAGGTCACGGACCTGTGCAACTCTCAGTGGAAGTGTATTTTTAAAGAGGTCCAGTGACCCTGGTGTGGAAGGAAGAGGAGAATCGGAGCAGCTGCCTGGAGCCAACACACTTCCTAGAGCCAACGGCCTGTCTGCCCAACCACGAACTAGGCATGGAAGCTCCCCTTCCTGCCAGGTTCACCAGGACCAGGGGCCCGGAGCGAAAAGTCAGCCTTCCTTCCTCGCATGGAAATCCGCCCACTCCAGTCCCAGATTGCACAATTAGGGATTCAGACTGCCAGGAAGCCTGGAGGCCCTCGGAGCCCCACCTGCGAGCAAACACTGAGTGGATGAGACATATCTATACACTGGCCACTAATGCTTATCAGGTTTCTCTTATGCCAAGGACCCAAAACGAATTAGGAAACTCACACTGGGCCATGTTTGACCACAGAACATCTTCTCCCGTTTGTCCCACAGCCTGAAGGCAGCACTGACAAGCACATTGATCAGGATGTGCTTGCGGCTGGTGACAAAGTACACAGCAGTGGGGCTGTCCACAGGCTTCCTAATGAGGTGACCCCACGATGCCACTGGATGTGGCAAGATTTGAGATCCCCATAAGGGGATCTCAGGAACCCTCCACCTCCAATTCATTAACGTAGAGAAGCAATTACTTTGCTGTGCCTTTCTGTGCTCGGGCCACAGAGGATGATTCTGGTGCATTGTTAACTCTCTCCCTCTGTCTCTGTCTCTCTGTTTCTTTCTCTATCCCTCTCTACCCCGTCTCTCCCTCTTTCTCTCCTTTCCTTTTCCTCAGTCCCTCTCCCTGCTCTCTCTCCCTCCCTCCTTTCTTCCCTCCTTCTGCCTCCCTCTCTCTGGCTCTCCCTTCTTCCCTCTCTCCCTCTTTACCTTCCCTCCCCTCTCGCCCTCCCAACACAGAGAGAGGCTATCCTGCCAAGGGGCTCAGGCTCTAAGCAGCCAGCCTGCCCCATGTGCAGGGAATAAACTGGAGGTGTCGTTCTTACCGACAGCATTGTTGCCAGGACAAAAGAAATGTTTGCCTTTAGGGGAGCTTCACACTGGTCTATCTTTCTCTGCAGCTGAGACACAGAGCTTTCGGTTAGAAAAACCAGTCCCCAAACACCTTTTACAGAGCTCACAAAATCTATGGGGTTAAAGAGATGTTAAGTTCTAAACTTGGGATCAACGAATTTTGCAGAAAGTTAACAGTAATCCGAGCTGTGGATTTTAAATTACGGATTTCCGCAATGATACTGCGTTACGCTCACTTGGAATGGTTCTAGAGACAGCTGGTGACGCAAAGCCAGCATCCTGCTCCTCCACCCTACCCCACCCACATTACCTCTTCCTCCTGTCATTCCTGCTTCATCTGCTGTCCTGGTTTGCATCTTGTCCTTTCCAGCAGCAGCACCTATAGCCCCAGACTCAGCAAGTAACAGGTTGAAAGGAATGGACTGGAGCAGAGAGTTG